GGGGGGGGTAGCTCCACCACTCTGTGAGATCTGCAGCTAGTTCCCAATCCTTTGCGGACCCTAGAGTGTTTTCACTCCTTGATAGACGAGGCGCTTGTTTTCTTCGAAATAATTTCTTCTTCTTTCCTGCTGTGAAGAATGTCTGGGATGGAGCTACTCAGCTGTCGGTGTCGGTTCCCAGGCTGCAGAAGATTGCGAGGACCAGCTCTTTCAGCACTCTGTAGTGCGCCATGTGTATCTGCCAACAACATGGGATACCTTACGGGAACCGAAGACATGTTCCATTATCTGTTCCTCCAGGCACAATGGGCAGAGGGGATCCCTTTCCTTTCCCCACTTCACGAGATTAGCTTTCAATGACAACAAGTCATATTACTATGTTGCTCAGATTATGAAGCTAAGTCTCAGAGGTGCTATGTGCCTCACGTCGTTCCAGGTAAGGGATCTTTGCAAGGCATCAGTCCAGTTTATCCATTGGTCCTGCTGCGATTGTTGAGTCGCTTTCTGACATCTCTTCTTGTCTTCAGTATTTTTCACTTCTTGGATCACCATGTCTCCTTGGTCTTTCCCATGTGCCCTAGACCACTGCAGCATCTTCTTGGTTATTATGGTATGCCCCTCGTTCGTCAGCCTACATAGTGCTTTAAGATTATCAGCACCTTCCAACCCTCTCATCACCCATCCAACCCTCACAGACACAGTACATAAACTCAATGTGTGCATAAAATCAGACCCCCCCCCCCCACACTAAGTTAAAAACGGGCGGCTACTTTTGCTTAGCCGATTTTCATTATACATATAATTGTCTCTTTTCGCTGCCATTGCACGGTTTCTACTGTCCCTTAAAGCGCCAAGTCCGCTGCTAAGGCAACACACTCAAAGGACTCATCGGAGCCTCGCGGAGTCCAGAATGTCGGACAGTACCTAACAATACCCTGGGGTTGTGATAGAGGTTGTAGAGTGGCAGGGACGTAAAACGCAATATTGATCGTAAATCGACGGCTGGTGTGGATCTATAATTCACTTCGCAGTGACCATTGTGTTGCAGACAATCGTGATGGGTGACAAATAGAAGGATCTAGTCGACGACGCCATGAATTAATAATTCAGCGTTCGCGTTTCTCATCCATCTATATAGGTTTACCTCCTTTTTATGACGGGACAGGAACAGTTATAGGCAAAAGCTTTGTTTTCACTGCTTGTAGAACTGGATTGTGTCTAAGTATCTAATGTGTCAGAGTGATGTCTGTTCATCTTGTCTCGTAACTAGCAGTATTAATGAGGAAGCGGGGGAGGGGAGGATATGGTAGGAAAGAGGGTAAGAAAGGAAGGGTTGGGGGAGAAGAGAGGAGAGAGAGGGGAGAGAGAGAGGGGGGAGGGATGGAGGGAGGGAGAGAGAGAG